TGAGATGACGAGAGCCTGGACCAGAACCTGAGTCGCTTTCTGAGTCAGCTGGGGACGTATCTTCCTGATGTTGTAAAGCGTGTATCTGCAGCAGCGGGTTGTAGCAGCGATGTTTGCAGTGAAGGACAGGTTGTTATCTAGGGTCACACCCAGATTCCTTGCAGTCTGAGTCGGGGAAACAACTGAGGTGCCGATGTTGATTGTCAGGTCAAGAGTTGGACAATCTTTTCCCGGGAGGAAGAGCAGCTCAGTCTTGTCAAGGTTGAGCTTGAGGTGGTGAGCAGACATCCACTGAGAGATGTCAGCTAGACAAGCAGAGATGCGTGCGACGACCTGGGTCTCTGAGCGGGGAAAGGACAGAATTAATTGGGTGTCGTCAGCGTAGCAGTGGTAAGAAAAACCATGCGGGCTAATGACTGATCCGAGCGAGTTTGTGTACAAGGAGAAGAGGAGGGGACCAAGAACAGAGCCCTGAGGGACCCCCGTAGTTAATTGACAAGGGTCGGACTCAGACCCTCTCTAAGTCACCCTGTAGGTACGGTCTTTCAGGTATGAGGTGAGGAGGGAAAGTGCAGAGCCAGAAACTCCAAGTTTTTGGAGAGTGCGAAGGAGGATCTGATGATTCACCGTGTCGAATGCAGCAGACAGGTCCAACAGGATGATGACAGAGGAGAGGGATGCAGTTTTGGCAGTGTGCAGTTCCTCCGTGACAGCAATGAGAGCAGTTTCTGTGGAGTGACCTGCCTTGAAACCAGACTGGTGCGGATCCAGAAGTTGGTTCTGATTGAGATAACAGGAGAGTTGTTTAAAGACAGCGCGTTCAAGTGATTTAGACAGGAACGGGAGGAGAGAGACAGGCCTGTAGTTTATAACATCAGACGGGTTGAGAGTGGGTTTCTTTAGGAGAGGGTTTACTCTTGCCTCCTTGAGACTGTTTGGAAAGTGACCAGAAGTTAGAGAAGTGTTGATGAAATGGGTGAGAAACGGTAGAATATCAGGAGCGATAGTCTGAAGGAGGTTTGAAGGGATAGGGTCCAGAGGACAGGTGGTAGGGCGGGCAGAGGTAATGAGGGTAAGAACCTCACTTGGAGAGAGAGGGGAAAAGGAGGTTAGTGTGTTGGTGGAAGGAAGGTCTGGTGACCCAGCGGTGAGTAAAGGTGAGTCAGAAAAAGAAGAGCGAATATCATTAACCTTTTTTTCAAAGTGGGTAACAAAGTCGCTTGACAGAAGTGAGGAGGGGGGAGGAGCTTTTGGAGGGTCCAAGAGGGTGGAGAAGATGGAAAATAGTTTTTTAGGATTGGAATAGGAAGATTGGATCTTATCTTGAAAGAAAGTGCTTTTTGCCTGAGAGATCGAAGCAGAGAAAGAGGAGAGGAGAGCTTGATAGGTTAGGAGGTCGTCACGGTGTTTGGATTTCCACCATTTCCGCTCTGCTGCCCTAAGGACGGTTCTATTAGCACGCAGTGCATCATTTAGCCAGGGAGCCGGAGGGGACTGACGAGCCTGCCGAGATGTCAGAGGACAGAGCGAGTCCAGAGTGGATGAGAGAGTAGAGAGGAGAGTTTCTGCAGCAGAGTTTGGAGGCAGTAGTTGGAACGAATCAGAGGAAGGGAGGGCTGAGAGCACCGACGAGGCAAAGGTAGAGGGAGAGAGGGAGCGAAGGTTACGGCGGACAAGTGTAGGATGGGAAGAGATTAGTTTGTTATGTTTGGAAAGGGATAGAGAGAATGAAATGAAGAAGTGATCGGATGTGTGGAGCGGGTTTACAGAGAGGTTAGAAGTAGCGCAGTTCCTTGAGAATATGAGATCAAGGACATTGCCAGCTTTATGAGTCGGTGGGGACGGAGAGAGTGAGAAAGCAAAGGCGGTTAACAGAGATGTTAGTTCGTCTATCTTCCCCATCTGGAGGTTGAAGTCTCCGAGAAGTACAGCGGGAGGGCCAGTTTCAGGGATGTGTGAGAGGAGATGATCTAATTCCTCCAAGAAGTCCCCCAAGGCGCCTGGTGGACGGTAGAGAACAACAATGGTTAACTGTATAGGATGGGTTACTGTGACGGCATGGAACTCAAAGGTGGAAGGAGTAAAGTTAGGTAGCTTGAAGAGGGAAAAGCTCCATTTGGGAGAGAGCAGGAGACCAGTGCCACCTCCTCTGCCAGTGGGTCTGGGTGTATGGGAGAAGGAATATGCAGTGGAGAGAGCTGCTGGGGTGGATGTGTTGGATGGAGTAATCCAGGTCTCAGTGAGAGCAAGGAAATCCAGAGACTGCAGGGAGGTGTAGCCAGAGATGAAGTCAGCCTTAGGAACAGCTGACTGGCAGTTCCACAGGCCACCTGAAACTAGATGATGGATCTCAGTGGAGCACGTGGGATAGACGAGAGCAGGCCGGTTATATCGATTAGGAGATACACGGGGCCAGTGATAATTGCGAGAAGACACATGAACAGGAATGGAGAAAATACACATGATTATAGCATGAGGGGCTAAACAACAAAAGTAAAAATTAAAAACGCCAACGATACTTAGCTCAATCAAAGTAGGATTTGCCTCCTCTTTGCCTCCCTCGTGACTCCCGTAGGACTCTAATGTCTTTGTCAGTCTTACTCCCGTAGGACTCTAATGTCTTTGTCAGTCTTAGCCTGTCTGCCGCTGAAGCTGCCGCTCCAGGAAAGAGCTACCCGAAATGGACGCCTGATTGCTCAGTTCTCACAGCTGAAGTTAATTAGTTAACTATCTACAGCTGATGGGCGACAATAGACTGGCCCTGCCTATGTTAATAATGCAGGCTTGAGTGCTGAGAGCTGTAAAGCAGGTTTCGCCTGAGCAGATCTGAGATTTAAAATCTCTCAAAAGCGATTTAGCCGTTTTAGCTACAGTAACAATTATACAGAGTCGAATAAATGAAACCGAGAAGTCTAAATAAACAAGAATATAACTTACAGTGGTTGCTGCGTCAATAGGTAATGTTGTCACCGGGTCCAGATGCACACTGAGTTCATCAGTTTCTAAATGCGGTATTTAAATGCTTTTTGAGCTAAAGGATGACTGAGTCACGCAGTTCTACTTCACGCAATCAATAGACTGGCCCTGCCTATGTTAATAATGCAGGCTTGAGTGCTGAGAGCTGTAAAGCAGGTTTCGCCTGAGCAGATCTGAGATTTAAAATCTCTCAAAAGCGATTTAGCCGTTTTAGCTACAGTAACAATTATACAGAGTCGAATAAATGAAACCGAGAAGTCTAATTAAACAAGAATATAACTTACAGTGGTTGCTGCGTCAATAGGTAATGTTGTCACCGGGTCCAGATGCACACGATTAAGGCAGTCTCTTTGAAGTTATGTTGTCTGGCCCCTGTCCCCCCACACCCCTTTGTAGTCTAATCCTTTGATGTGAGGTGTTATAACAGGTAGGTGTGATATAAGCCTCTGATGTTAATCTAGGTGTTGATTAAGGCAGTCTCTTTGAAGTTATGCTGTCTGGCCCCTGTCCCCTCAGAGTTGACTCATCTAATTAGCCTTTGATGTTTGCCCTTTGATGTGAGGTGTTATAACAGGCAGGTGTGATTTCACACTGGTGTGTTATAAGCCTTTGATGTTAATCTAGGTGTCTCTTTGAAGTAATGCGTGAGACTGTATAGCCCCCCGCCCCCTCCCAGCCCAGGCCTCTCCCCCTTTTCTCCACCCCTTCCTTTGACTATGATGCCAGCAAATAGTGGGGGGTGGAATCAGGTGAAAATAGAAATACGCTCAAACTAAATAAAAAGACAGTCATTTCCACTTAACAAGTCACCTTTTAAAAAAGAAAAATTGCCAAGAGACACCTCGATAGGGGTTTAATCAGCGAGAGGCCTGTGACAACTTACCGCCATCCGTCCGGAGTGCCAGTCAAGAAACGAATGCAGCATCTGTGAGGGGTTCAGACGCATACAGCTGAAGATCTGTGCACAAACTTATCTCGTGCCCTCTTTTGGTCATGTGCACGCGTTCATGTGTGTTGGAGGAGGGGCTCTGTGAGGAAGTGGCAGATTTTCCCCCGGTTGGGTACTTTTCAAATTCTAGCTCACTCGAGCTGGTTTCTCCAAAATGACCTACCCCTACCTTTAAGAACAATACACACACACACACACACACACACACACACACACACACACACACACACACACACACACACACACACACACACACACACACACACACACACACACACACACACACACACACACACACACACACACACACACACACACACACACACACACACACACACACACACACACACACACACACACAGTTGGAGTAGATATCTCTGCTCCGCGCCGATTCTATATGAGTTTGTTTTAAAAGGAGAGAAAATCAAAGCAACCGGGATAAGGGTTAAACAATAATCTGCTTTAATGGTAAAACACAACACAATACACCATACAGAGCACTCTGCAACAGTACTCCGTACTCAATTCCTACCACCGTGTGATATACGTACCACGACAGCCAGTCAGGAAGAGAGCCCAGAGCATAAGAATGTTACAGTATTTATACACATAAGCGGGGAGGAGTTTGGCCGGTTTTACTTCTGGGCCAACCCTAAGCAATGAGTCAGCAGTTTGTTGATTCCATCTCCTTACTGTGTGTGTGTGTGTGTGTGTGTGTGTGTGTGTGTGTGTGTGTGTGTGTGTGTGTGTGTGTGTGTGTGTGTGTGTGTGTGTGTACCCTTAGGCAGTCCCAGTCATGCTTTGGAGTAATTTCACAGACAGAGGACTCTTTAACAGAACGCACACACATTCCCCCTAAAACATCTAACACACACATCTGTTTAAACCAATTATTCCAAAATGTGGTGGCAATTTGGCAGAGCATAAGAATGTTACAGTATTTATACACATAAACGTTAGAGCTGAATTTGTTCCGATTTTGACATCTTCTTCAACAAAATGAGATGTGTCTGAAATGTAACCACGTTGACCACTTGACAAGTAAGGTTGTTTTGGTTTTTTCCTCCAAACTCAGGCTTGAAACTTCTCAGATGCCAGAAAAGTATGCAAGCGGAGCACAAAGGGATGATTTCCAACTGTTTGATCCAGTGAGTCACTGTAACAATTCCACCACTGACTGCATGGCAATGTTTCTTAAAATAAGTGTGGAAATGACATTCAATGCTTCGCCTAACCTGATTTATTCACACTGGAACTGTCGTCTAGGCTTCCCCAATCTTTGCAGACCTCGTCCCTCCTTTCCCTCAGACAGAGAACACAGAGGAGGCCATTATTGAAGTGCTGAGGTACAGTCAGCAGGACATGGACGCCGCCATCGCCAGAGTCCAGGCACAAGTATGTCCTGCTCAGTGTTTGTTCATTTGACAAATAACAGTCAGGAAGAGGGTTTCTGTTTGAAGTCCATTTTGTTTGTGTCTTTGTGAATACAAACCATTTGTAAAGACCAAAATCACGTGACTATATTATGGTTTCTGTGGTAATCAAACAATCCCCAGAGTAGTTTAGAGCAATCTTATTCAACACAAGCTAAATAGAGAAATGTGTAACAGGCAGTGATTGTTCGATTTACAGGGTTTTTCATCATTTACTGATACATTTTCAAAAAAGAGGGATAATCCTTTATTTTTGTTGTGATTCCTCCATTAGGGACTTTATTCTAAACCAAATTTGCTAGGATTTAAGCTCCCAAATAAATGTTTTTTAAAAATAAATGGTGGTTTTGTATAAACTTGACATTGTATTACTGAAACATGCAGGTTTCTATAAATGTACATTAAAAGTCGCCTCTTGATTTGAAACATTTTATACGTAATCCCTTACTATTAATAAATAACAATAATTGTCTTACTTTCAAATAGGCAAAGGACACAGAGGATCAATGGAGTGCAAAATATAAAAGAACACTTGACGATGGTCAAGAAATGAGGTAGGCTCGTTTTGAGTTTGTTTAACATAAAAAAAACATTTATTTAGTTTTTAAAGGAAATTTGACAATTTTTAATTATTTTTTACAGGAAAATAATTGCAGTGTTTGAGCTCATGATTGCTAAAATGCTGGGTGAGTTAATATATGTAATGTACGTGCCTTTGTCTTGGGACTTTTCGGTGTCATGATAAGAGCTTTTAACTCTTGTTTTCACCTGATCAAGAGAAAGAGAGGGAGGTGGCCCAGACGAAGCTCACTGCGGCTCTTATCGAAAAGGAGCAGGTCTCCAGCAGTGGCGGCGCCAGAGATTTTCTCTAGGGGGTGCTGTGGGGTAGCTTGACGTTTCATAGAGGGTGCTCAAACATTTAGGGTTTCCCATTAATGCACCAGCGCTACAGTTGAATTTTCTACTGCAACACTCCCCACGCACACACACACAGTGCACCCGCGACTGTTACAATGAAGGCTCGATAATCAGCTCACGGCATATAGGCAGGGGTAAAGTGCTATTTTTACAAGTGGGGAGCGGACCTCACCTCCTCTAGGAGGGTCCTCACCTCCTCTAGGGGGGTCCGGGGGCTAGCTCCCCCGGGAAGATTTGTTGTTACATATTTAAGTTAAAAGCATCAATCTGGTGCACTTTGAGAGCAACATTAAGAGATCTATGGATACATCTCAACACCCATACGAAACAGAACTGTCAACAGATTTTCTATTTCTTTATAGATATTTTACAAATCACTCCCCTTTTAAAACAAACCGTTTGAGACCCACTGAGATAACTAGACTAAAGTTAACTATCTAAACACTGAGAGTCCTTTACTTCACCTGAGTTGAGGTTACCTGAGACTCTCCGTCTGACAGGAGAGAGTTCTCCCTCCACCTTGTTGTTGAAAAAGCTCCTTATATCCATTAGCTTGGCTAGCTAGCACCAGATGCTAACCACAACGATCTCCGGTAGATACCCACTGGTGCGCGAGGCGAGCTCTCTCGCTCGCTCGCGCACGCACGCACACAAAATGGCTCGTGCCACACACACACACACACACACACACACACAAATCGAATGGGTGCTGACCATTGGCCTAATCATATCACCAGTGTTGGCTTTATGTTTTCGGTCAAAAATGTGTTTGTTTCACATATGCATTGATGTAATCAATAATATTTCTAATTTAATTTAATAAAAATAATAATAATAATTTTCGGAAAAAAAACACATATTTCTTGGGGGTGCTTAGGGGGTGCTTTGGCAATCCTGGGGGGTGCTTCAGCACCCCCTAGCTCCCCCCTGGCGCCGCCCCTGGTCTCCAGTGACCTGAACACCATGGAGAGATCGTGCTCCGCCCTGTTCAAGAGACTGGACAAGTACAAGGATGTTGTTGAGGGCTTCAAAAAGGTTAGAAAACAACACTTGCCCGGATATAATCCACAAGTTGCATGACGTAGTTTAAAGAAATAGCAGTGGCAGTATGATTGGTAACATGTTTCCTGTGGCCTTCCTGCAGAATGAAGAGACTCTGAAAGCCTGTGCTCAGGACTATCTGGAAAGGATCAGAAAGGAGGAGCAGCGCTACAAGACCCTTAAAGCCCACGCCGAGGAGAAGATTGGCCAGTAAGAAACCTCACTGCACTCTGTTGAAAGTGTCAAATGCAAGACTTGCAGCGTTTAACTGACATCTGTTGTCCTTCAGAGCAAACGGGGAGATTAATGAGGTTCGGTACAAGAACAAGTCTGAGACATCTGCCCTCCAAGCCCAGCTGAGGAGGGAGCAGCTGAAGGTGCAGTCGCTGGAGAAGAGCCTGGTCCAGAAGGTGAGAGAAGAGGACAACATTACATGGCGGTTATTTGTTTATAAATCTATTAAATATCAAATATTCTATAATTTTTTCCCTTTTATTTTTTGTAGGAAAAAGAGGCAGAAGATCTCACCACACTTTGTGATGAGCTCATCAGCAAAGTCCAGAGGGGTTGAGCTCATTTGTAAATCGTGTACATTTTAATGCTTTTCTTTCCTGTTCTTCATTGTTCCTGTCCTTGTTCATTCCTTTATGTAGTGCTTTGTTTGTCTTTATCAATGTTATTAAAATACTGTAAAAAGAGAAGTTAATAAAGATGATTTAATCTTTAATAAAGAGTTGGTGAAAATGATTACAATTGTCTGTCTTTTTTTGTGAATTTATAGTTTTGAATTTCTGCCTGATTTCAAACCACTAGGGGGCAGCCTTGCCTTCATGATGGGTTGTAGGTTCATGGATTTGAATCTGTATTCACGGATATGGAAGTAACATGGCTGTTGAACCCTAAAACCAAAGTGTTCTGTGCAGACCCTTTCCTTTAGACCCACAGAGTGATTCAGTGCACTCACTCCTCACCTGTCTGGACTCATCCCGTCCTGTAGTGCTCACAACTAAACAGGCGCTCACCTGATACAATGACCCCCTTCTTCCCTGAGCAGTCGCAGGGTCCTGTCACATCACTCCCAGAGGCAGGACAATGCACTTCCTAAATGGTGAAAGGAAATCCTAGCTAGATTGGAGTTGAATGAGGTGGTAGTGCGGAGAGGGGCGAGTCTCTTAAATGGAAAAAGATGCTGGTCACTCGGTGTAGTCTTGCAGGGGCCATCACTCATCTGAAGAGGAGAACTGTGTGGGGCTGCTCCTGTGTCTATTCCCTCGTTCTTCACAGCATCTGTCCCTCTGCTGGCTGCCCTCTGTGTCACCCACAGCAGACACTGCTCACAGGAGGAAAGCTGACCTGTCTGTGCCCGACTGTACAGCGACTGATCTTATTCACAGGGATTGTATGCCTTTAATAAAAAAGTATATTTGTAAATGTAAAGAGAGCATTGATCTTCCCGAGGCATGTCACTTGTTTCAGGCCATTTAATTAAACCATCAAACTTTTTTATACGATTTCGTTTTTGAACATAATACATAAGATTGTCAAATACAACCAATAACATACAGAAACATTTAAATATTGGCATGAATAAATGAGATTAAACAGGGAGACTCAAATGTACTATACACAACAGTATACTTTAATAACATTACATATGTAAAACGCCTTATTCTGAAAAATAAACTTTGATACATTTTTTTTTAGCAAAATAAATTAAATATTCATGACTCAAATTGATTATAAAATGACTAAAGCTTCATACACTGGGTGGAGAAGGTGGTTTGTGTCAACATGCTAGATGCCATTAACAGAATAAAAAGATGAAATGATAACGAAGACCGATTTAGTTAACATGGAATCACAATTATTCCATCCCTTCAAGTCCGAGCTAAGGTTTGCGTGCCATTAAAAACTCACCAGTCGACTATCACTTACCAGAGGATAACATAAGGGATGAAGAAAGGTAATAAAAAGGATAGTGGTCAGCTTAAGAAACATTATGCATCTTTAAAAAACAAAAGGACTACCTGAGTAGGGCACAAAACCAGCCCTTTTGTAAATCTTGAGTACCATTATCATCTTCTTTACCAGGCAGAACCTACTGCGCTCCAACAGCTGAATCAGTGAAAAGTAAAACCTCACCTCCATTTTCAGCTACACCTCAAGTAAGAACACTTTTCAGCTGGTGTGAATAGCTGCGGTTAAACTCACACGCAAAAAACGTCCTTGTCCTTTTTGTATTAAGTGCACAACAAGGGTTCATGGATTTTTAGTGGTGTGAGAATCTGACAGGTCACAAATAAGCACCAAATATGGAAGTTTGGATGTAAAAACACAAAGTATGTGTCACTGGCCACTGTTTTTTCGCGCACATGCACACTCTCCAGCTACGTGAAGAGTCTTTAAAGAGTAATGCCAAGTGTTAGGGAGCCGCTGTTCAGTCCCAGAGCTCATTGTCCCTCTTTGGCACCGAGGCTAACACTGAAAATGAATGTGTTGATGCTGATGTACTTTCCCGTCCACGTGGGAGTGGGTGTGTGTGTGAATGTCAGTGTAGATTTTGGGGTAGATTTTAGGGGGGATTGTCGTTCCTCCCTGTGCGAGGAGGAGCTGCTGCTGCGCCAGGTACTCCTCATAGTTCATGGAGCTCATGCAGTCTTTCTCTGGGCTGGAGGAGCTGGAGGAGGCAGCCACGCACCCCCGCTCCCTCTCTCGGTACGGCAGCCGGTGGGAGCCCTGCTGCAGGACCTGTGCAGGAGCAGCTGCAGCCGAGGGAGGGGGGCAGTGCTTTCTGCTCTGGCAGAACCACAGCAGCACGGTGCCAAAGATGAACACTATTCCAGCAGGGATGCCGATGATGACGGGCCAGGGGAGGGAGCTGGAGGTCGGCGAGAACATAGGCATGATGGGAGGCTTCGTGTCTGCAAAAAGAAGAAGGCCAAAACAAAAATCAGAACAGGTTTACAACTCTCCATTGTTGCCAGGAGTTAGTTTATTGCACAGCTGAAATGCTCAAAGGAATAGTTTCACCCTTAAATCAAAGATACATACATTTCCTCTAAGCTGTATTGCCATGTTTCAATCTAAATGGTTGTGGTTTGAGTTGCCAAGTGTTTCAAAATGGGCAGTAAAGATGTCTGCCTTTTCTCAAATATAATGGTAATAGATGCTTTTGGCGTATCGAGTAACCGGCTAATGATTTCTGAAAAAAAGACATTGCTCGTGAGTTGTAATATTTGAACTTCAATTACCACAACCAAGTTCACCATCTAGTTCCATTATATCCAAAATAAGGAAGACATTGCTATCTTCAGCACATTGATAAAGATAACCCAAAACATTAAAAGAAGAATATGAATTGAAGGATTACTGTCTCTTTAAGGCCTGAAACAATTGATCATGTCAAGTTATTATTTTGTTGATTAATGTTTTGGTTCAGCATTTAGCCAAACCCATTTTTACCGAGGTGGGTTCTGTCCAAAGGTCATGTGACAACTGAGGAAGACCGTGAGAGGAGACTGACAGCTCTGCAATCAGCTAGTCAGTGGACATTGTCAAATCAAATATGTTGGATTTACAATGATATAAAGGTGAAAAAGTCGTGTTTTTTTCATTTCTTACAACAATGTCCTACAAAACAATAACTCAACCCATAAAAACATGATCGTATAGCTTGACTGCCTATTTAATTTGACAGGTATTCATTTATCCGGTGAAAAATAACACAGGTCCAAAACATATCAAAAACTGAAATAAAACAGATGATAACAAAACATCTGTGGTTAACATTGCTTTGTTGGCATCTGTCCTCACTGATTCTTTTCTCTTTCATTTCAGTTTGACAGCCCTCTGTTTTTGTGTTATGTCCACTAAGGCAGATTCCTTAAAATAAACATCCGCATAAAATACACAAACTAATAGCACAGACCCTGGCCCAGGCGGCTGATGTGTTGCTCTGCAGTGTGTCTGTAGGGGAACAGTGTGTTCCCCGGGCCTCACCTGGCAGCACAGTGAGGAAGGCGCTGCGGAAGCTGTAGCCCATGGTGTTGGCGCCTAAGCAGATGTACATGCCAGCGTCCTCCTCCTTGGCACGAGTAATGAGCAGCTTGTTGAGGTAGGAGCCGTCGGGTCGCGACCACACCTCCCCCATGGGCAGCACCACGAACCGGTGGTCCCCCACCTCGATGGTGGAGTTGTAGCGACTCTCCTCGTGCGATTCCACGCGTTTGAGCCACTGAATAACCGGCTTCACGTCGCTCCTCACTTTGCACTGGAACGACGTGGTGCCTCCGTAGTCTACCGTCGTGTTGACCGGGTGAGTGCCGGTCAAAATAGGCTTGGAGTTGGTCCTCTCTGCAGGACCAACAGAGAAAAAAACTGTCAAAACACAGGGATATTTTTTGACATGACAGCCTAGAAAATGTCTTAGTTGTCGGTACCCTTATTAGCCTCGGGCTCAGGACTTATAATTGACAGAGAGGGAGCAATACCACATGTAACACAAGAAGTATGTGTGATTAGTTGAGTTTCCTCTCTTTCTTTGCTTGTGGTTGTACAGCACACATTTCTCATGGGAAGAAGGGGGGGGGGGCAGTTGGTCTGGCAGACAGCTGGGCTTTAATCAGCTCCAGATTGGGTGGAGGGTCTCCGAGTTAAACAGTCGCCCTCTTTCTCGCCCTCTTTCTCTCTCTCCCTCTCTCTCCCTATGCAAACACCAGGGCACAAGCCCTCAGTCTCGAGCCTGCTTCCTCAATATGCTTCTCATATACATGATTACCCAAGCACGTTCATCCATGCAGAAAGGATATGAATAAGACCTGCTGATCGCAATCAGACGTCAGGCGTAGGTAGATCAGAGAGAAGATTTTTTAAAGGTTACCTCGGTTAAAATCAGAACCACAATTACAGGTACTACGTTGTTTTAATTTCCCCGCAGCAATGTACAAAAGGTCACAAAAGTAGTTCATACAAACAGCAGTAATCAAGTAAATGAATCACCTCGGCCTCATCTGTTAGCAGTTATACCTGCAGGTGAATATGTTTGGTATGCGTACAGCTCAGACCCTCTGTTGGTTTTTGTTTGCTGTCAAATATGTAGAATTAATGGAGTGTGGTGGTGTTTTTTTATGTTTGTAAGACTCTTGGAAGAATAAACCAGTTGTGTTTTAAAGAGGTCCTTATGTAACAAATCAAATACCATCTGTGGGATACTCACGTATGACCTCGACTTTATACGTGGCGTTGATTTCTCCGGCCCGATTGGAGACCCTGCAGGTGTATTTGCCGCTGTGCTCCGGTGTCAAGTTTTTCAGACTTAGAGTCCACTTCTTCTGGCGGCCTTCTCCGACCTCCTGCTCCGTCAGCGGCCTGTCGTCCTTCAGCCACACGATGTCCGGTCGAGGGTTTCCATTGGCCGTGCATTTGAGCCGCACCGAGCTGCCGACGGGTCGAGCTATCACGCGTTTTCTCATTTTAGCAGGCTGAGAGAAGCGGGGACGCACTTTAAAAGGGGACAGAAGAAGAAATATTTAGTTTCATATTTCAGCAGTGAATACACGAGTTGAGTTGACAGAGGAAGATGCATCCAAACGACACACAGAATGGTTTGCAAAATGTTGAAATGTGATTTGTAGACAATAGTAAACATTGAGAACTACTGGTATGGAATTCACCACTCTTACCAAGCTTTTCTGCCAAGCCATCAGTACCCAGGTTAGACTCGGCTCCATCAGCTGCACCAGGTCCACTTTTATCAGAACCCGAGTCATCTGTAAACACAGCAGGACAACAGTCAGTCAAAAGCCGAGGACCAAAGGGGCAATTGTATAGGGAAGATAAAGGAAATCTTGCAGCATGGGATTGTGCATATTGTAGTGCTACTTTAAAAGCCTGTATTAATTTATTGTTACAATCCTATTCTTAATTGTTAACAGTGTCACCATCACAGCTCTCATGGCAGTGACCCAGCACCACGCAGTCACAGCAAAGCGCTCTTGGCTGTATTTGAGTACATTTAGCATTTATAGATAGGCTCCTCTGAGCGGGGTGCATGCTCGGGTCATTCTCTGTAGCATTTGGAAGTAATATGATCAGTTTTCATAAGCCCAGTTTCAGGAGACAGCTGTGGAGTATATGTCATTGGTTGACATCATGCAGCGGGGCTAAGACAGGGCTTAGAGCAAATATAATGAGTGAAACCTAATCGATGGTTTGTGATGCGTATGGACTTTTCGAGTTAAGCGTTGATGAATTAACCGAGCAAATCGGGTTCCTCGCCAGTATCTGCTACTCTCTGCAGAAAGAGCCATTAGGCAGATTATTATTAAAATAGGGCTGCTGTTAAATTATGTTATATAATACTCCTGAGAAGTCACTTCACATTAGACATAGTACTCTAAGTTTTTCTTAGCGTTTTTATCAAACTTGCCAACCTCAAGGCAAGGGAAGTATAGACACAATATGAGAGGTAACTATGTTTTACCACTGCTAAATGGAAAACTACCAGCCAGTTCTGCACCTTTTGTACCTCTTTTGGATTTCTAGTTCAGAGCAGCCTCAAGTTGGATTTTTCTAGATTCAGTTTGGCACATTTGATTCCCTCTCAGGGTTTGATTGGGTCAGGTAAATAGGCCAGATGTGACTTCTAACCCCGTCGTTGTGCCTCCCTCCGAGTCCCCCGAAACCCTCAAAGCTCTCCGGGGTTCTCTGGGTACAAACCCTCCTTTGTTTGTCCCCTGCAACACCGAGCCCAGCCATGATGTCATGGCTATTTGAAGGGGTTTAACTGGCCAACTATAATAACCCATTCCTTTAAAAAACAGCCTGCGCTGGAAGAAATATTTCTCTGTTGCTCACTCGGGCTCTCCACATTCCTCCTGGTTCCTGAACCTCCCAATCCAAACAGAACACGGTCCCACACTGCCGGGGTTTTCTTTTGGATTTTTTTTTTCCTGAATCTATTTCCTCTCTACTTTTAGGCAATTCTAGGGAACAATGGTGCCCTTTATATGTGTGTCCTGTTAAAGCTATCCCTTGCCACTATTGTCTTTACACTATATTGGCTCACCAGACTGCAGACAGGGCGAGGTAGAACATTGCATATCTCCCATATGATGATACTTTTGGATGAAAACAAAACCAAAACCAAAAAGGAGGTGACTGAGAGGCTTCTTAATGTATGAGAGGCCTGTTCTAGTGTACTGGAAAATAAGTAAGAGCTGCAACTTATTATGGTAATCAAACTCAAATCCTTATGCCTGATGCACTGTATAAAATCAAAGGCCCGAAAGGCAAACGGAAATTCAATCAGTCATGATTCAAGTGCATGCTTATGCAAGTAACAGGATCAAATTGTTTAAAATGCAATCAGCCTCCTTCCATACAACTTAAATCCATTCATGGTCTCTCTACAGTGTTTAGGGTCTGACGCCATCCCCTCCCACTTCATTCATAAATCCAGACAGGAAACATGTCACTACACACTCTCTGTGCTGGCCTCTGTGCCAGCTGAATCACAGGAAGAGGAATGATGATGATTGGAGGTCACAATGAGCTCCAGATGTTGTTGGGGACAGTGTAATGTCCAGGGTAAGTTATGCGCAGTGGCCTTGCATCACACTCTGGAAACCTCCAAACAGCTACCACATGTGATCAGTCACACACAGGGCAGTTTATCCAACAGCGTCTCCAGAGAGGAGCGAGATGAAAAATGTCCTGCGAACGCCAAAACCTCCATGTAGAATAACGTGTGCTGTGTTAGCCTTGTAATATATTATCTGTGCGGACATAAACATTAAAATCCCATCCTGTAAATGTTAATATGACAATCCCATCTTAATGCTAATGTGCATTCTGCTGTAAACTGAGCAGCTGAGGTTGCTGCATGCATTGCTCCATCCTGGTGGGGGGTGGGGGGTGCTGGGAGGTGATGGGGCCAGTTGTCAGGAGACCACCCCAAACAGGGCCCAAACAGCCAGCTGGAGGGATTGAGGAGGCGCCATGTTGCACTGACTGACCAGATTCTTCAGATAGCTCAGGGGAGGACAGGCAGTCCACTGGCAGATGGGAGGAGGGATATCTCTCCAAGTGGACCCCCCCGCCCCCCCCCCCCCCCGTCCTTACATCACCCTGCTGCAAAACCCTTCACTCTTTCACTTCCAATCTCATTTTACGTCTTCGCTGTCTCTTTATCTTATCCTCTTGGCTTCTCTGCTGGATCTCAGGCAAGGTTTAAAAAGTTCTGCTCTCCCCACGTTGGGCCTTGAACTTGAACAGCTGCCATGGTTTCATCGACCTGTCCCCCCCGACCAGCAATACAACAGACGGCAGTCTCTTCTCTTACTTTTTCCCTCTGTGATCCAGTACAAATAATAAACTGACATGATAGATACTGTATGTGGAGCTATGCTGGGAGTCACCTCTCAGCAGGTCACTGCAGTTAACTGCGTGCAACTAAATGCAAATGGTTTACAATTAGGGTATTCAACTTGAATGGAAAGTGTTGCTCATGATAATTGCAGACTATTTGGCTGTATTACTTCAATCCTGGAAGTATTTTGACAATGAGGCCACCTAATCTTTGTGGCAAAAAAGGCACCCAGAATGCAATGCAGCCCTGATGGAACAATTATCTATAAAAACAAACCCTGTGGTGATGCTCGCCAGGATCTAATGGGATGATGGACAAGAAAGCAGAAAGAGGGGAGGGGTGAGTTACATACTGGCTGCTGGATGTCTACAGTCAGTGTGACTCAGAAGACAACTACGAATTGGAACAAACCAAATCAGGATCAAGAGTGAGGCCAGAAGGGTCTCTAGGTAACTCCATAAAGGGCCAAAACAAAACCTTCTTGGAAGCATATTTCCACCAGATCTTTGTTCAAACGTAATCACCAATCGGGAACGTAAGCAGTCAGGTTGAACTAAACGTCCAGCGATTCACATCACATCAGTCTCAAACTGTCTTTTAAACCTCTTCGCACTGCAGCAGAGGCCAAGCCAGACAAATAATCTGTCACACTAACACACACAGGGAGAAAGTTATCTATCACTGAGTTGAATTGGCTCAACCTGTGTTTCTCATTCTTATTTTCCCATATGTCCCGATTTTAAATCCTTATTTAATCTGAAAACGAGTACCATGTGCATGCACTGTATTTATTTAGAAGATATTTTGCTTGTTATTTCACAAACTCTTTCTCAGGTACCATTAGGTCTGTATAAATACTGAGGCTATTGTTACTGTTCATTTACACATAAACCCTATGAATGCAGCAATAATGAGAGGCTGCTTTTTTGGTTCTATTCCCATTCACTCCATATAAATAATCTAAATGAGCTGTCCGCATCCCGTCATAACGCACCGAGGATGGCGACAGTGTTCAATCAGGAGAGCTTGAAACTAAATTAAATGGACATGTTGGTTGATATCCATCCCATGATTGATTTGGCGTGTGTTACACAACATATGTTTAGTGCACATAGGATGCCCTTTAAGTGCAACGCAGACACAGACATAGCCACGTCTGACTTTGATATAGCTCAACTGTAGTATGAACCTTGACATTATGGCTGGCTGCGTGCCTTCATCTGCAGCCTTTCATTTTAGCACAATCAGCAGACACCCTCTCTTTGAACTCACTGGCAACTTCATATTGAGGGGGACCCTAAAATAAACTTTGGTCCAGACTATTCCCATCTCATGATGAGCATGCTTTACTACAGAAAGCACGGCACTCTGTGTTTTTCACATCTGCCTGATTATGGCTCTTCTTCTGCAGACTGGCTATCACAAGACCAGGCTGCCGAGAGAGACAGGGAGGGAGCGAGCGCAGAGACTCTGGCCCTAATTAGGCATCTTAGAGTAATTAGACTAAACACAGCCTTCATGCTCCACTCCGCCCATTCATCATGTTCTGCTGTAGCGCTGAGGGAAAGCACTGTACGCACAAACGAGTAACACACTGGGTCAAACCGTGGCCTAATCCTCCAGGCCCCGCTCGAAAGCTGTGTGAGAGTCCGAAGACAGACCGCCACTATTACACTGAATGTGTTTCTTATTGCGGAGCTGCAGACCTCCTGCCTCCACAGAGTGTAGCCTGAGGAAAGGGAAGAGCTTGAGATCCATTTGAGTCGCTGAGGATGAAGTAGTATGAAACAATATCCCATGCCGCTGTTGACTTTGGGCAGAGAGAGGTAGGGGCTGCACCACATACAATAGATGAGGGGATCAAGCGCTAAAGCTCTATAAATCCACTTGTTTTAGACCTCGACCTCTGTGAGCAATGCTGACTCGTAAAATTTGAAGTGTTGTGAGATTTTTTAGCCTGCAGGAAAGTGTAATAAATACGGCTTCAAAACAGAAAGATGATGTGGTCCTATCGTACGAATCAGGGGATTGACTCACGGCTGGTTTGAGTTACCCGACAGGTGACTTCATGTTTTATAGATGCTGGATCGAGCTTGAATTTTTAACAAGAGTGACATCTTTTACGACCCTCGATGATCTCATCTCAGGAACCTGCGGACCAACAGGTGATACAAAGTCTTTAATGTGATACACACAGCAGGGCCATCTGCACTCACCGATGACGATAAGGGTGTAGTTGATGTTAACGCTCCCGAAGCCGTTGGTGGCTTTGCAGATGTAGGTCCCCGTGTCGTCCGCCTCCACCTCCTTGATCTTCAGGCCCATGCGGAGGATACGGAAACGGATCCAGCCGCTGTGGATGTTGCGCCCATCTTTGGTCCACATTATGAGGGGCGGAGGGTCTCCTTCCACCGGGCAGGGCAGCTTGATGTCGCTCCCGAGCCGAGCCATCTGTCTGTGAGAGACATTCTCAGACACCCTCGGAGGACCTGAGGACACACAAAAATGGTGAAGACTGTAAAACCAATTATTGGTCCTTTTTTAACAATGCAGGTTTTTCCAAGTATTACTTATTCCAGTTGTGACCAGTTCAGTAAAAGGGTGTCAAAGTTAGGAACACATTTTCAAGAAAAATCACTAATGTTTGGTAGAGATGTTTTTTTTTCTGGTTGAAAAACCAAAAACTGGATTCAGTAGCTGTTTCGCGGCTTTGATCTTAATGTTTAGGCCGAAATGGATGAGAAGTCCACTAAGTGCACATAGGAAAATACATTTGAACATCTATGTGCACTTTCATGACATCTGGAAAACTCCATCTGCTAATGAAGATCGTGAAAAGCTTCACAACAGCTGCTGAAAGACCCTATGGTGAAATGGTTTTACCAACTGTTGTTTAAGGTCAAGACTGAATTTTGAATCCACTTTTTTTTTCTCCTTTTCCCAGTTCAAGAAAAACGAATTTAAATGACATTACATTGAGGTCGCCATTGAAAAGTGCTTTACTATTCAGGCCTACATTTGGTGAAAGCTCACCTTACCAATAAGTGGCTGGCAAAACAACGGGGTAAGAATATCAGGCAGGTCACTGGAAAAATGACTTGATGAAATAAGCATGATTGAGGAGGAAGTAGTCATTGTAAGTTTTAGGTGTAGTCAGAGTGGCGCCTCTTTCATATCCAACATTTAAAAATATATTACCAAACTTTTTTCAAACCAAGTGACATTGCAGAAATAATGTTTTAAACACCAGAGCTGCTTGGCTCACAAAAGTGTACTGGAATCAAGAAAAATGTGATAAAGTATCCTGATTTCCCGGACTAAAAACAGCTCGGATGTGGGCAGATGGAATGAGATTGAGGTAATTTGTCATCTTTTTGTCTGATTAGCCAGAAATGTTGAAACCAGATTGTAATAATTGGACAAGCCCAGCCGTCCACTGCCTGCACAGAGAGGGCAAAGTGTTCTGGCTCTGGTTTTGCGTGCAAGAGATCAAAGCGATGAGGGGGGCGGGTCGCAGAGAGACGGACAGCAGCCTGTTCTCCCTGCGCCTAATTGGCTCAGGTCTGCTCCCTCAGATCTGGTGAAGTGGAGCGGGCAGAAACACCCTGTGATGGTGTTAGGAGGCCTGCGCCGCTGCTCGCTCAGCACCGGGCGCTCAACTAACCCCCAACCAAAAACAAAACAAAACTGAAGCAGACGAGACACGGAAGAGAAACAGGAGATCGGGGGAGTGAAAGAGGGGGAGGTAATGCAACAGAACCCTATAGCTGCAGCAGCCTCCAAAAGTACACAGTCTGTGCCTCAGAACAAATGGCCGGCCTGGTAGCAGTGAAAACAATGGGGAGGGGGGTAAGTACACATGGCCTCTCCTGAAACATATACACACGCTCAAACACACACACACATTCCTTTGCTGCATTTCACACATATGGTAAACAAACGATCATTATACTGATGGGGCTGCCGTGGGGGAGGCGACACAGGTTATATTCTTCATTGTGCCAACAGATGTATTTAGCTGCAGGTACAACATCTGGACTGCTGGGCCGGTGACCTTTAATGCTGAAAAAGCTGGACTCAGTTATGATTTATAAGTCATGGCACAGAACTCTGTGGAAAAAAGGCACCACTTGAGCGTAAAACCAATGAAACCTCCTTCCTTTTTTGTTTCTATGTTTTTCTCAGCCATGCATGAACACACACACAAACTCAGAGTTTTTCCTTCCTCTCTGTGAAAGGCCTTCCCTGGTCCGCAGCATGCACAGGAAATTGGAAGTGTCATTGTTTATGTCTGTGGAGAAAACGCGACCACTGTTTTTTTGGCTGTTGTCAGCTGGCCCATATCTCACTCCTCTGCTACCAGGACAGCTGAACAGAGGCTCTCAGTGTCCAGCGCCAGTCTCCGCTTTAACAACACAGACTGGTCACAGCCTTGGCTCGCTGCTGCGGGAGCTCATTCGGACTGAATTGATCCTGAAAGACTGAAACAAAAATACATGCCAAATCTTGAACAAAAAGGCCTCAGTTATCTCTCTTGACTTATGGTCATGCTAGCCACTTAGCCATGTGCTTCTTCTGGATTAATTGACACACAAAAAAAACGATTCATTTCAAAGATTTAACTAAAGCAAAAGGTCAAAACACATTGACCCAGCATCGAAACTTCCTCTCAAACTCAGATTTCTGAAAGACAGAAAAGAGTGCACAACATATCTCTGCAGTGTTAGTTGCAGGGCACCTGGCACTAACTACAAACGTAACCTTGGCTTTCTAGCTTAGATCCTTATTTAAATGTATTTGTATGCTTCTTAAGGTTTTTGCATATAAATGGTGGGATGAAATACAACGTTGGCTTGATTTCCTGTTTTGGTACAGTACGATAATAACAGTTTCTTTCATTGTGATAAAGGTCTATGTTATCTTGAAGTTTGGTCATTTAGTACAACTCCTGAAAAAATGTGGATTTTGCTCCAAGTCCAAGAATGTGCAGCAAATGATTTCCTCCCTCCATCTCCGCTCTTAAAAAACCTTTGAAGTCCTTTTGAAAAACAAGGCATGAAGAGGTGCTGAAATCAAGGACACCGTCTGAGTAACTTAATAAGTATTTGTGCTGTGTGCATGACCACAATCCTTTCTTCAATAGGGACTCTCCTCCTCCTCCTCCTCCTCCACACGGACAGGTTCTCTTAACCTTGGAGTTGAAAAGCACGGAAACTACCACACAGAGGCCCTCTGTAAAAGAAAAACAAATTCTGAGAGAAATTGTTGCCTTATCGGCTTGATTGTAAGATACATAGCTGCACTTCTCTCGGCTGTTTTAGCTTTGGTCTCCTGAGGCCCCTTTATGAACAGAATTGGGAGGGATGAAACCCTCTTTAATGGTCACACATTACAAAACACACACAGTGAAATGTGCTTTTAACCCATCCTAGTACCAGGAGTCTAATACTAGGAGCAGTAGGCAGCTATTGTACAGCGCCCGGGGAACAATGGGAGTGAGGGGGGAAGGGGGGTGTCCGGTGCCTTGCTCAAGGGCACCACGGCAGGGCCCAGGAGGTGAACTGGGACCTCCCAAGTAGCAGTCCACACTCCATATTTATAGGTCTGGTCGGGGACTTGAACCGGCAACCCTACAGCTCCCAGTCCAAGCCCCTACTGACTGAGCCACTGCCATGCTGCTGAACTAAGCGTTATGTTCCTCTACAAAGGCTTTGATGAATTGCAATCTTACACAATTATGACAAACTGGTGAGTGGGTTTTACTCAAATTGCTAGAATTGTAAACTGGCTTGCAAATGATAAAATGATACACATGACCACATGGGCTTTCCCATAATTCAGTGTGGTTACGGCGCTCCTTATTAAAGCCAAGCTCCATATGTGAATGGGATCTTTCATAGCGCAGGAAGAGGAGGAGGAGGACTGGCGACTCTCAGAATTAGCTCTGTTTTTCTTTGCTCAATTTGGTGATGGATTATTTTAAGAGAAAGGGGGCACATTCAATAGGAGGCATTCTTGTGATTCAGACTAAATATAGACATGTTTCAAAACCATCTGAGCGGGTTAATGAACTGTTGATCTGACGTGCAGGCATCCGTGGATAGAAATACTTTCTGAAGAAAGAAAAACACACTACAAAGGTTGCCAGAAGTATAATGTAATTGTGTATTGATTTGTAATGACGTGAACATGCATTTGTCTTCCCATACAGAGTGCTTTGGTCTTTCTAGTCATTGCAAACATGTCAATAAAGGCTTGGCTTGGCTGCTGACAGCCGCTCTAATAGCGAACACCTGGAACTTAACCAACCGCAATGAGAACGACTTGATAATGCACGCAACACTGTCTGCCCTGCACAGGATATAGTTTTTCAAACAACACTTAAAACATCTTCTAATAAAAAGGATTCAGTCCTTGATCTCTTGCCAACTGCAAAAATGTCTTGTGCATCAAAAGGCTTCTGCACAGTGCCAGACTGATTCATTACTTGGATAAACACTGATCTGAGTGAATGTGTCTTCAATATGCAGTATTTACATAAAGGATAAGAGGCAGAGAGACAGATAGAAGCTGGAGAATGCTTCCTCCTACTCAGCAGCACTGTGTTAGCTCAGCAGACCGTACAAGAGCGGACAGACCTCCAACATGAGAGAGGAACTTTAATGGAGCCTGTGCTTCCAGGGTAGCCTTTAAAACCTCAGGAGCACTTGTATAGTAGAAATCGAGAGTGACTTGAGAAAAGTAAGCTGAGTTCAAGGAACATGGGAGGGAAGGAAATAAAAAAAGCACCAACAACGACATGAAAGCTGGAAACCAAATCCAGAGTCGGTGACTTTACTTGAGACTGGAGGGGTCGGGTGGAGGCAAAGGTGAGGCAGACTCGGGGAGTGTGTGAAAGGCCAGAGCTTCTGTTCAGAGCCTGCACTCAGCTATACATTTCACAAGCAAAGATAACAATCAGCATAAAACAGTGAGAGAGAAAGAGAGGAGGGGGAGAACCACCTCGGCAAATCAAGAAAGGAGGCGAGGTGAGGGGGAGGGCAGTGGCAGGACCGGGGTGAGAGGGGCCGGGATAGGTGGAGTGGCGGTGGAGGCCGTTCTGACAGCAGCGGGGCAGCCAGGGGTGAAGAATGCCGTCTTTTCTTACCAGACGTCCTGCCCAGCTACTTCACCCAGTGTGGTAATCAATACCGCTTATTCTCCCCTCTCGGCTTTCCAATCAATAGATAAGAGCAGGGCAGGACAATGGCTCTTTCTTCAGCACCATCTGATGTGGGCTGAATAGCAACTGCTTCGGTGGTGGGAATGGTACAGGAGGAGCTATTGGGTGACATGAGGGACCAGAGAAACAGCAGGAGGGGGTGGTATATAAAGAAAGTGGTGGAGAGAATCAGATGCTCCAGTCGATGCATCTGATTAAAGCTGAATCACTAGAAAAACGTTGCTGGGAATCTGCTTCCTTTACTAATGGCCCCCTGAACAACAGGCT